CTGGAACATCGAGGGCAATTGGTTTGCATTGGCCTTGGATTGGAAAAAGCGTTTGACTCCATCAACCCTTGAGCTATGCTGCGAGGCCTTCGGCGCTTCGGCTTGTCAGAGCACGTGGTGAAGTCATAAGCGCAATTTACACATATCGGATGTTCGAGGTACGGGATTGCGGAATGACTTCGTCGTCGAGGCCACAATTGTCCGAGAGATCGCAAGGATGCCCCTTGTCACGGCTCCTGTCATAATCGAAGACGCTGCCGCGCAACTCTCCGAAGAGAGTCGCAAATTATAGGATTGAGGGTCATTGTCAGTCTTGCAGTACGCGGACGAGACTCTGATTTTGAGAAGGACCAAACAGGATGTAGAACAACTACTTGCCGCTATACAAAATGCTGGAATGTGTTATGGTATGGAGTTGCACCCTGACGAGTTCCAATTACTCCAAGTCATGTGCGCTTAGAATATTCAAGACACACCAGGTGTGATCACACCGGCGCAGGAAGACATGACTTATTTGGGAGCTTTGATTTCTGGGGTGGGGGACGCGAGCAAAGAACTCTCCAGGCGTCTTGGCGCAGCCCGGGCTGATTTCGACAAGCTTTGTGTAATACGGCGACATGCAACTCTCAGCCGCCGTCGAAAAATCGAGGTTTACAAGGAGGTGGTCCTTAGCAATTTGCCGTACGGGTTATCAACATTGTGGTTGAATGCCGCCGGCAGGAGACGTCTGGACGGTTCTCGTGGCTGGTGCCTCCGCGCGATCTGGGAGATTGCGCCAGCTTATACTCCAAGAGTGATCAACGCAAGTGTCTTGGACAGGACTTGACAATCCCTCTTATCAGAGACTGTGGCTCGACAGCAGCTCCTCTTGCTGGGAAAGCCGCCAGGTCACCGGAAGGGAGCTTCTTAAGAGAGGTCACCTCGTACCGCCGATCGTTCCGGCCAGCTTCAGACAGGTATGTGAAGAAAGTTGGCAGGCCGCGCGCGGACTGGACGTCCCAGGTGCTACGCGTCGCTTGCAAAGCGGCAGGCGGCATAGCCAATTTGACCCCACTCTTGAATAGCGAAGCTTCTTGGCGGCACTTCGTCCACACAGCTAAGCTGTCAAGATAGCGCAACGTAGCCCGACTGCATTATTTAATCTGGAATGTTTCCCATTCAGTGTCCTACGCACCTCCGGGTGTATGGCATTTTGCTTGCTTGCTTGGGACGTCTTTGTCGCCTCTTGGACCGCCCCGGGGCTGTCTGGTGTCGTCCTGCGGCCCTGACGGAAGCATTTGCGGGTGTCCCTGGGGAAGGTGCGGGGCCTGCACGGCGTACTGGAACGCTGTGAGCACCAACGAGCGACTACGACATAGATGCCCCCTGTGCTCCTCAGGAAAAAAACAAAGATCTCGGCACTTCGGGCCCGCAAGCGGGGCCCTGTCAAATTTCTCTCGGGCCGGCTTCGCGCGGCCTCCAGGGCTGTTGTGGCCGTCGTAGGCGAGGAGGGATGAGGGAGAGCCACAGGAGGGGGGAGACAGACGCCAGTATTCGAGAGGGGGGAGGGAAGGGGCCAGGAGAGGGGTGGGAGGAGCGAGGATAACTGAGAAGAGAGGAGCCTGGAGTAAGGAGAGAGCGAGGCGAGGGGAGACGAGCGAGCGGCGAGGAGCGAGGAGCGATGGGGGGAGAAGGAAGGCACGAGAAGAGGCTAGCACACGAATCTCTCAGCGGCCTCGGCGCGTGCGTGGCCAACATCTGGTCTCCTCTCGGGCCTCCGAGGGGGGGACTACTCGGTGGCCCGCGCTGGTGAAAAATCTGTGATGGATCTTCCCACGGAAGCCTCTGTGAAGCGGTTTCCGGAGTGCCCTGGCCCTCTCGGGGCCCTTCCTCTTGGGCCTGACGGTGGCATCGTGCGGGCCTCCTGGGGCTTCTAGGGGGCTCCGTGGAAGCGTGCTGGCGGTTCAGGGGGCCTCGGGGGGAGTATGCGGAGTGCAGATTCCAGGTTTCCCTCGTGGGGCCGTCTTGGGTTCCTCTTTGGGCCGTCATGGGTCCCTCTTTGAGGCCCTCTTGGGCTGCCGTGGGGCCCGCGGGGGGGCCTGTTGGGCCGCCTTGGGCCAATATTCGGGGTTTCGGGGGCCGTCATGTAGCATCAGGAGACCAAGAAAGCGAGAACGTCGAACACGGTCAAAAAACCATACGAAATTACTGATTCGGGCGTCCCTTGGCCCCCTAGGGGCGCCTATTGGGACTTTCTTGGGCTGTATTGGAGGCTTCCTGGGCCGGTTGGGCCGTCCTGGGCGCCTCCTCGGCAGTCTTTGAGCTCCGCTGAGCCGTATAGTGGGCGTGGCCCGAGGCTTGCTGGGGCCCTCTTGACGCCCTGTTTTGGCAGGCATGGGCCGCCTGGTGTCCCTGTCGGGCCGCCTGCAGGCCCTATCGGGCTGCCCGGGTGCCCTCTTGGGGCCCGGTTGGGCCACCTTGGGGCGATATTGGGGGCATCTGGGGCCAGCACGTAGCATCGAAAGCCAGGAGAGGCGAGAACGTCGGACTCCTTCAAGACCCATGGGAAATCACTGGGTTGGGGTTCGGTGTGCCCTCGTGGGTGGCCTCGTGGAACTTTCTTTTGGCCCGTCTCGGGAGACCTCCTGGGCCGCGGGGGTCGTCTTGGGCGCGGCTTTGGCAGTCTTTGGGCTCCAGTTGGCCTTATCGGGGGCGTGGCCCGAGGCCCTTTTAGGGTCCTCTTTGGTCCCTCTTGAGCCAGTCCTGGGCCGCATGGGGTCCCTCTCGGGCCGCCTTGGGGCCCTCTTGGGCTACCGAGGGGGTCCTCTTGTGAGCTTGTTGGGCAGCATTGAGGCCACATGGGCCATCAGGTAGCATCGGGAGCCCGAAAATGCAAGAGCGCCAAAATCATTAAACAACCAATTGGTCATCAGTACTGTTGGCTTCTCTGGGCCCTCTTGGAGGGCCAGTTTGGCTTCTCTGCGCCCTCTTGGACGGCCTCTTGGGACATTCTGGGCGCGTCTTGGGGGCCTCCTGGGTCGTTAAGACCGACGTTAGCGTCTCTTCGGCCGTCTTCGGAAGACGTGAGGAAGTAGACGGACAGAAGGAGCAGCCAGGAGTGAGGAGTGAGGAGCAAAGAGCGATGAGAGAGGGGGGAGGTATGACGGGCCTGGAAGCGCGCCTGGGAGCCTCGGGAATCTGCATCTGGTGATGATCACTGGCCCACTGGTCTGCCTGCGTGCTGTCCTTCTGTTGTGGTGGCTGGGCTGGTGAACAGATAACTTTTGGCCGAATCGCATGGCGTCTGGTTGTTTTGAGCTTTGTTTGTTGAGTCACAATCGGGCACATGAGCGAGCACGTTTAACATGATTGTTCCTGTTGGCTGTTGGTGTTTCTTTCTTTGTTTAATCGCTTGTTTATTTGCTTGTTTGTTGTTGTTGTCGTCCTCGCCCTGACCCGCACGCGAACCCCCCACAAAACGCTCGCGACCCGCCCGCGACCAACCCGCGACCCACACACATTGCCTCGACGAAAACAATTGGCGTCTGCGACGGGCTCGTCGTGAACTGTGTGCAAAAAAATGGCGCCTGCGGCGGGCTTCTTCAGAACCTCGCAGACTGCGGACGACTCGGTCGTCCCCTCACTCTTATCCGCAACTGCGGGGGCGATGTGCATACTGATATTTGAAAGATCGCGAATTTGGGTCGCTTGCGGGGGGGAGCCGTCAAGCCGCCCCCCGAAACATCCCAGACGTCCAGAAACCTGGGGACCACCCCTTTCGAAAAGGGGCGGGTCTCATCCACCCGCCCCCAGGCGCCGGTCGTCGTCGTTTGCTGGCGGCGGTGCGGGAAGTGTTCATACCCCCCCTTTTCTCGTGCTCGTCGCTCCACGCTGACTCCATGAGGTCCCAAGACCCCCCTCGGAGACAAGAGGCAAGTCTAGTGCCCGCCAAGAGGCGAGTCAAGTGCAAACAAATGATTGCTGCATTATCGCCTTTTCGCTTCCAATTGACCTTGAAGTCTCAAGGTAGCTCAAAGATGACCCAAGAGGTCGACAAGAGGCGCCCAGGTATGCCCAAGACGGTCCCAAAACTGCGCAAGAGCGCTCGAAGAGCGGCTCACGAGGTCCCCCAGAAACTCTTGAACGGGCTCAAGAGGGGCGGTGCCTATCAGCGCTGTTTGCTCGATGGCCTCCATAATTGCCCCAAGAGGACCCGCAAGGCCCAGAAGAGAGCCCCAAGATAGCATCAAGAGGGCATCGAATCGATGGCCTCTCAAAATGGCCCCAAGAGGGCTTCAAGAGGCTCACAGCGCGAAATATCCACATAGGCCATTATGAGTTATGGTTGAATCGTCGTCGTCGTCGTCACCGTCGCCCTCTTCCTCACCATCCTTCTCCTCCTTCAACCTCGTCCTCCTTCTCCTCCTCTTCCTACGCCTCATCGTTCCCCCTTTCCTCGTCCTCCTCGTCCTCCTCTTCCTCAGATTCCCCTTTTTATCTTCACTCCGCATAGGGTTCACCAGAAGTCAACTGGGAACGTTCCTTCTGCCCGCCTTCCTCATCCTCCTGCTCACGCCTCCTCGTCATTCTTCTCCTCATCCTCGTGCTCCTCTTTGTCCTGTTGCCTTATCATAATCATCATGCCTCCTCCACATCCTCATGATTCGCCACGGCCGCGAAGGCATGTGGTCCACGGTTGGCTCTGCTCAAGCTGATCCTAAACTGCGGTTTGACGACTGCCGGCTCTTTGATTAACTGATGCTCCTGCGCTTTCCTGGTCAATGCAAACTGGTTGGGCATCGTTTCTGGATGGGATGGCGGGGGCACACGGAAGGATATAAACTATGTCGCACTCGCGAAGGCTTGCAATTTAGCAGGGATAACGTCAGGCTCCAGCTTCGCCTCCAACATCTCGCTGAGCAACATAAGAGACCGCTGCCACTCCTCGCTCTTACCGCACGCGCTGATCCCGGCGTTGCAGCTGAAGACGTTGGGCTCCAGTTTCGCCTCCAGCAGATCGCTCAGAAGCGCAAGAGCGTGCTGCCACTGCTCGCCTTTCTCGCAAGCGCTGATACTAGCACTGTAGCTGACGACGTTGGGCTCCAACATCGCCTTCCGTATCTGATTGAGCAGCGCCAGAGCCAGCTCCCAATGTTCGCATGTCCCGCACGCGCTGATGCCAGTGTTGTAGCAGACTGGGGCTGACCAGTGGATTTACGTCCACGACAGCTTGCTCACATGCAAGGGTTAGGATCGTCTGCCTGCTTGACTGCCTTCGTGCTGTCCTGTGAACATTGCTGCTACCGTGCTTGCCTGACAGCTGTCTCCCCAAAAGTTCCTGTTTGCATGCTGGTCAGAGTGTCTAGTATCAGGCTTTCCTCCTTGCGTGGGTGCTTCATCGCTTGCTTGTCCGTCGGCTGCCGCCTACTGCCGTTTGCTGGGGATTGGTCCTGCTTGGTGTGAGTTGCCGCTGCTTGGAGCTTCTGCAGCAACTGCCTGTGTGCTGATGCAGGCTAATTGCTGCTTGCTGCGGCTTGGTGTTGCTGCTTGCTGCTCAGCGCTGATCGTCTCAATGAGTCTGCTGCTACGTGATGTTGTTTGCCGCTGCTGCCTGCTAATGGAGGCTGAAACTGGTTCCTGTTAGTTCTGTTTACGTTGCTGTTAGCATGCGGGTCTGGCAGACTGTTTGCGAGCCGGGCTGCTTGTATGCTGGCCTGCTGGCCTGATTTCTTGGGTAATTACGTGCTTAATTGTATTCGCTTGCTCTCACTTGCTGCTTGTTGCTATTGCTGTCTCTTGCTGATACTTGCTAGTTCTCTTTTCTGTTGCTTCCAACTGTTGACTTGCGCTGGCACCTGCTTGCCGCGGTGCGGTGCTGCTGATTGCTGTTGCGTGATGCTGGCTGTTGCTGCTTGATGCGTGCTGCTTGCCGCAGGTGGTATGGACGCGTGTTGGTGCTGCTGCTTTCCTGCTACTCGACGATGCTGCTTATTGATACAGGCTACTGCTGCCTGCTAGTGCTGACTTCAGCTGATGTCTGCTGCTGCTAAATGCTCATGGCGCGGCTGCTGGCTCTGCTGCTGCTGGCTGGGGGTCGTGTTGAGACACGCCAGCGCCGTGATGGGGGGCGTCTTGCGTCCCTCTTGAAACCATCCAGGGCCGTCTCGCGGCTCTCCGTTGGGTCTCTTGCGCCATCGTGGTGCCCTCTGTGGAGGTGGTGGCCCTCCCTCTGGAGGCTCTCTGATGACGTCGTGGGCCCTCCGGGAGCCTTCCCGGGCCATCCTGGCGCGCCGTGCCATCTTGGAGACGCGTCGGGGCACTCCGAAGCCATGCCAGGTACTGCCGGAAGTGGAAGAGAGCCAGTAGGCGTCTGGGTGCCGAGGACGGCGCTGCCCCCCGAGCGGAACCGCCGATGCAACGCCGCCAAGGGCTGGGCCGAGGGAAACTGGCTGCCCTTCTCGCACACCCGCACTCTACCGCCACGGAGTCTGCTGAGTGTGCGCGTCTTGGAGCCCTCTGGGCTGGCCTCGTGGGGCCATTTGGGAGCATGTGGGGGGTCTGTTGCCAACCATCCTGTGGTGTTGGGTCCTCGTTTTTGAAAGGACAGCGCCCTGCGTCAGTCACTTTCCTTCCTCCTCCTCCCTCCTCCCTCCAACCCCTCCTTGCCTCTGCCCTCATCAGTATGTGTCATCCACACCCAGTACAGCGCTTCGTGGACCCATAGGGAGCTCCACCAAAGGCCCCAGTGGCACCGCCCGCATGCATCACCCCCACACAGTACAGCGCTTCGTGGCCCCAGAGGGAGCTCCACGGAAGGCCCCAGTGGCACCGCCCGCATGCGTCACCCCCACCCAGTACATCGCGTCGTGGCCCCATAGGGAGCAGCGCCGAACGCTCCAGAGGCACCGCCCGCATGCGCCAACCCCACCCAGTACAGCGCTTCGTGGCCTCCTTGGGAGCTCCACCGAAGGCCCCAGTGGTACCGCCCGCATGCGTCAGCCCCACCTAGCACATCGCTTCGTGACCACATAGAGGACGGCACCAAAGGCCCCAGTGGCACCGCCCGCATGCGTCACCCCCAACCAGTAAAGCGCTTCGTGGCCCCATAGGGGGCTCCACCGAAGGCCTCAGTGGCACCGCCCGCATGCGCCACCCCACCCAGTACAGCGCTTCGTGGCCCCATAGGGAGCTCCGCCGAAGGCCCCAGTGGCACCGCCCGTGGCCCCATAGGGGGCTCCACCGAAGGCCCCAATGGTACCGCCCGCATGCGTCACCCCCACCCAGTACATCGCGTCGTGGCCCAATATGGGGTTTCCACCGAAGGCCTCAGTGGCACCGCCCGCATGCGTCCACAGCGCTTCGTGGCCCCATAGGGAGCTCAACCGAAGGCCCCAGTGGCACCGCCCGCATGCGTCACCCCCACCACAGCGCTTCATGGCCCCATAGGGAGCTCCACCGAAGGCCCCAGTGGCACCGCCCGCATGCCTCACACCACCCAGTACAGCGCTTGGTGGCCCCATAGGGGGCTCCACCGAAAGCCCCAATGGCGATGTTCGCATGCGGTTCCCCTTCACCCAGTACATCGCTTCGTGGCCACATAGGGAGCGGCACCGAAGGCCCCAGTGGCGCTGTTCCAATGCGGCCTCCCCCGCCCAATACAGAGCTCCACCGAGGGCCCCAGTGGCGGTGTTCTCATACGGTTCCCCAACCCAATTCAGCGCTTCGTGGCCCCATAGGGAGCTCCACCGAAGGCCTCAGTGGCGCTGTTCGCATGCGTCTCCCCCGCGCAGTGCAGCGTTCCGTGTCCCCATAAAGGGCCCAACCACAGGCCTCGGTGGCAGCTTCCGCATGCGTGTCCCCCGCCCAGCACAGCGCTTCGTGGCCCTATAGTGAGCTCCATCGCAGGCCCCACTGGCGGTGTTTGCATGTGTCTCCTCCATCCAGTACATCGTTCCGTGGCTCCATAGTGAGCTCCACCGAAGTCCCCAGTGGCGGCCCAATCCGCCCCATTGCCGCGCACACTTCGCACTTTTCGCGGGACCATGGCGGGTCCCACCTGAAGCCCCAGTGGCAGCGCCCCCATGGCGGCCCCACCCCATCCATGCTGGCGACCCGTCGCATGCTTCATGGCCCCATCATTAGATCCCCCCAACGCGACGCCCGCAACGGCCGTATTCAAAACTGCAAATGGTTGAATCCTTCACCCAGATAGTCGTTCGGTTTCTTGGGGAACTCCTTTGGCCCTATTGGACCGTCTTGCGGGCCTCGTGGGCCGTCTTGGGGCGCCTCTTGAGCCGTCTTAGGGCCGTCTTGGGCCCCCTCCCCAGGGTCGTGTTTGGATGTCCTCTTGGGCCCAGAGCGCTCTCAGACCGTCTCGGAGTCCTTTCGGACCATCGTTGAGGCCTCTTGTGAGCCCCTTGGCCGCCACAGGCGTAGTGGCACGGGCGTTTTGGGAGCGTCTGGGGGCTCCGAGGGTGCCTCTGGGGGCCTTCCCAGCGCCGGAGGAGTTATCCGGACAGCGCTTTTCCCGCACGCGCGGGGCCCTGCAATGTAGTATAGGTGACGTCGGGCTCCAGTGTTGCCTCCCGTATCTCGCTGAGCAGCGCCAGAGCCGGCTGCCACCGCTCGCCTTTGTCGCAGGCCATCATCCCAGCACCGTAGCACATGATAGTGGGCGTTAACCTTGCCTCCCGCACCTCTCTGAGCAGTTCCACGGCCCGCTGCCATTGCTTACCTTTCCCGCATGCGCTGATCCCAGCGTTGCAGCTGACGACGTTGGGTTGCAGTTCCGCACCTCGCATCTCTCTGAGTAACGCCAGAGCGTGCTGCCACTGCTCGCAATTCCCGCACGCGCTGATAGTAGTGCTATAGCAGATGGCGTCGGCAAACGCCTCCTTCGCCTCCCGCATCTCTCTGAGCAGCGCTAGGGCATGCTGCCACTGCTTGCCTTTCCCGCACGCGCTGATGGCAGTGGTGTAACAGATGGCGCCGATGGACAGCTCATTCGCCTCCCGCATCGCACTGAGCAAAGCCAGAGCATGCTGCCACTGCTCGCCTTTCCCGCACGCGCTGATGCCAGTGCTGTAGCTGAAGGCGTTGGGCTCCACCTGAGCCTCACACATTTCGCTGAACAGCGCCAAAGCATGCTCCCACTCGCTTCCTTTCGGGCACATGCCCATCGCAACGGTGTAGCTGAAGGCGTCGGGCTCCACCTGAGTTGCTAACATTTCTCTAAACATGGACATTGCACTCTGCAACCGCTTGCCTTTCCCGTACGCGGTGATTCCAATGTTGTAGCTCTTGGCGTCAGGCTCCATCTTCGCATCAAGCATAGTTCCAAACAGTGACAGGGCCCGCTGCCACTGCCTGCCTCTATTGCATGCGCTCATCCCAGCCTGAAAGCTGATGACGTCTGGCTCCAACTTCACCTCCCACATCTCCTTCACCAGCAACAGAGCCCGCTGCCACTGCCCGCCTCTCTTACACGCGTTTGCCCCAGCGTTGTAGCTGATGACGCTGAGCTCCAACTTCGCCACTCGCATCTCGCTCAGCAGCGACAGAGCTTGTTGCCACTGCCCCGCTTTGTCGTACGCACTAATTCCGGCGTTGTAGCTAATGACGTTCGCTTCCACCTTCGCCGCCAACAGATTGCCAAGCAGAGACAGGGCTAGCTGCCACTGCTCCCCTATATCGCACGCGCTGATCCCAGCGCTGTAGCTGATGACGTCGGGCTCCAGCTTCACCGCCCACATCTCGCTCAGCAGCGTCAAAGCCAGCTGCCACTGCTCGCCCTGCTCGCACGCTCTGACCCCAGCGCCGTATGTGAGGACGTCTAGCTCCAGCTTCGCCTCCTGCATCTCGCTCAGTAGCCCCAACATCAACTGCCACTGCCCGTCCTTCTCGCACGCGCTGATTCCAGCGCTGTATATGGTAACGTTCGGGTCGATCTGTGACTCAAACATCACACTGAGAAGCGGCGATGCCTGCTGCCATTGCACGCCTTTTCTGCAAGCGCTGTCAGTCGCACTGTAGCGGTCTGGGGACAGCTTCATATCTAATTGATTTCCTCCGCAGAGCAACTTGCAATGCTGCGCTCCATTGGTTTGTCCGGTCGCAATTCTTGGCCACCACTTCGAAAGGGACATCGCCTTCTCAACACTAGCATCGCGGCGTGAGCCAACATTCGCGTGAACCGAATGGGCAAGCCTTGAGCCAACCAAGCTTCAGCCGAAATGCTTCGGATGTGGTCGTCGTCCGTCGGTCAACCGTCGGATGTTGTCAGCGTCGTGTTCGTCGCCGTCATCCTTTCTTGTGTCATTCGCCATTCGTCTTTCGTCGTTCGTCCATCGCCCGTCGCCGTCGTGTTGATCGTCATCCTCCTACTCGTCATCGTCCTCCGAGGGAGCCCCTGGGGGAGGGGGGGACGGGAGGGGGGACGATAGCAAGAGGGAGGAGCAGGGAGAGGGGGAGTATGGAGAGAAGGACGAGAAGGGGGGGGGAACTCCTTTGGAATGTTTTGCTAACCCAGAAAACTATTCGGGCAGAGGGGAAGGAGGGAGGCGGGAAGACGGGGGGGCGGGGAGAGGGTAAGGAGGAGAGGCAGGAGAGGATGAAGGGGACGAGGGGGATGAGGAAAGCGGGAGGACTCGTTCTTCTTTTCCCGTCTGCATCCTCCCTAATCGTAAACAACTCATCGTCGTCGCACGAGGGTGGGAGGGGGGGCGGGAGGGAGCGAGACTGCTTGTGGGCGTGGAGGGTAGCTTGATACCTCCCCCTGCCCTATCCCCTGGGTCTGGACGGAGGGGTCGCGACCAGTCAGGGCGTCCAAGATGGCCCCAGATAGCATCGTCGGAGTCGATCTGAGTCTGCAGGCCAGAACTCCAGCCTCCAGGGGCCGTTCGGGATGGTCCTGACACATCCAGGAAGCCCTCGTCGAGGCGCAGCTGATGAACAGCCTCCCGGGCGGAGAAAACCTGCAGGAATCAGCGAAAAGAAAACCCACACCTCCATCCTCCCCACCCGCCGAGGCTCCATCTGCGGACAACAGCGGCGACGGCGGCGGACGACGGCGGCGGCGGCGGCGACGACGTCGACAGCGGCGACTGCAGCGACCACGACGGCGGCGGCGGCGCTGCCGACGGCGACGGCCGTGGGCTGCGGCCTCTGCGGGTGGCGGTGCTGCGGCAGCGGCGAGCCCGGGGCGCCCAGGGAGCAGTGCTGCCGCGGCGGGGAGCCGGCGGCGAACGCCGGGGCCGCGGAGCCCAGGGTGGTGCCTCGGCAGGCGGGTGGCGCCGCGCAGCTGCCCGCAGGCTGTCTCGCCGTACGGTCGAAGCGCCGTCAGAAGGAACCCCCACATGGCGAACGAGGCCCCCCAACGGCCACCGAGGGCTGGAGTCCAGGAATGAAAGCCCAGGTCTCCGACTTGTTTTTCAGCCCAGACATCTTGCATTGATTTGCACCTCTGGGGCCCTTTGCAGGCCCTGGGGCCATCAGTAGCGGGTGCGTAGCGAAAAACTTGCCCTGGGGAAGGGGTCGGGATCCCATGTAGCCGCGAATTTCGTCAAAATCTGATCGTCGGCTGTCTTTGGAACTCTCGGATGCCCTCGTCGGTTCTCGGGGGTCTGCTCGCGTCGGGGTGCTTGCCAGCAAATGCGCCTTGTCAATGGCGTCCCAGGGGTGTCCAGATCATTCCGATCAGCCGCCGGAGCCCCGGGGTCCAACCTTTCTGTTGAGCAGAGAATAGCACGACTTCGGAGTTCTGGTAGGTCCGGGCTGTGTCCGCGGCGACCACTTCTTCCTCAAACGAGCCGCTGGTTTGCGGTGCGCGCTAGGGGGAGTCGAGCGAGAGGGCGGCCTTCGAAGGCCAGAAGCCATCTTAGAAGAGGCTCGAGCCTCGTCCCTCCATGCCTCCCTGCCTCCCTCCTTCCCTGCTTCCCTCCTCCTCGCTTCTTCCTCCCCCTCCCTCCTCCCTCTTTCTCCCTTCCTCCCTGCCTCCATTTTTACCCCAGTGGTCATGACCTTCTCGCCCTCCTGATCCTCATCCTCCTCCTCGTCCTCCTCCCCCCTATCCCTACACCCTCAGCGTCTTCTCCCCACGCCCTCGCCGGCGCTCTCAGAAATCCGACGCCGTAGATGATTACCTACCGTCGTGTTCTTTGTTGGCGTCGCGCACGGGGGGGGGTAGGGGGAGGGGGAAGGCTTCTCAGATGGATGCTGGTTCTAAGAAGTCGCCCGCCCTGCATGTATAGAGAGGGCCCGCGCTTTCTGAGAAGGGTGATTGTAAGAAGCCTTCCCCCCTCCCCCTACCCCCCTCTGCGCGTGGCTGGTCTTTACAACGGGAGGAGACACTGCAGCCGCCCGCGCATCCTGGTCTGAGCCGGGCGGGCCAGAAACCTCCGCAAACGCGAGCGGCCCCGCGGGCACCAGTCCCCCGAGGCGTGCAGGAGGAGAGAGAGAGAGAGAGAGACGACGACGAGGATGCGGAGGTGGTGGACAAAGTGATGCGTGAGAGGGAGGAGGAGGATCCTGCTGCCGGTGATGCTGATGATGATGTTGATGATGAGGGCTACCGCCGCTGCCGCCGTCGTGGTTATCGTCGAGTTGTCGGCGTCGCCACCGCCGTCGCCGATCGGCGCCGCCGCCGGTTACCGCCGCTGCCGCCGTCGCGGTTATCGTCGAGGCGTCCGGCGCCGCCGCCGCCGCCCCAGACCCCCGACGTCATGACTTTTTCACAGCGTCGACCCCCAGAGGTCTGGACCCCTTCCCCAGCACCGGCTTTCCATCCTGAATCGTTTTGCGACGCTCCCGAAGCCCAGCGAGAGGGCCCCCGGAGGCCGAAACTTAGAACAAGGCACAACAACTCCGTCATGACGTTTTCATTGCCCGAGGGGGTCTGCTGGGGTCGCCGATCAGAGCCGCCGCCGCTGCCAGCCGGTGCCGGCGCCGCCGGCGCGGCCGAGGCGCGGCACGGTGGCCGCCGTGCGCTGGGAGGGCGCGGGCAGGGTGGCCCTGGATCACCTGGCCGAGGGACGAGCCGAGCACCTGGGCTGCAGCGGCGGCGATCCCTAGATCCGACGTGCAGTTCATGGGCCCGTGAGGCAAGGACGCGCGACCCGCCCCACGACATACATGGAACCCTCCTCTCTCCTCCCTGCTCCTTCCTCCCGCCTCCCTCCTCCTCCTCCTGCTCCTCTTCCTCCTCCTCCTCCTCCTCCTCCTCCTCCTCCTCCCTCTCCTCCTCCTCCTCCTCCTCCTCCTCCTCCTCCTCCTCCTTCCTCCTCCTCCTCCTCCTCCTCCTCCTCTTCCATCCCTTCCCCTCATGAATAATTCCTCCCTGTCTCAATCCCAGGCGTGTCTGTAGGCCGGGCCGGGCGTTTCGCCTGAGACTTCCTTGCCATTTCGGATCGCCAAGCTTCGAATTTGCAACAGCTACACGGATGGAAGCCGGGCGGTTTTCAAAATGTGGCTCTCGCCTTAGCGGCGCGCGCATTCGTCTTCAAAATTTGCGACAGTTACAAAGATGGACAGCGGGTGGTTTTCAAAATGTGGCTGTCGCCTTAGCGCCGCGCGCACTCGTTTTCGACATTTCCAACAGTTATAAGAATGGAGGGCGGGTCGTTTTCAGAATGTGACTCTCGCCTTAGCGCCGCGCACATTCGTTTTCGACATTTCCAACAGTTAGAAGGATGGAAGCCGGTTCCTTTTCAATATGTGGCTCTCGCCTTAGCGCCGCGCACATTCGTTTTCGAAATTTCCAACATTTGCAAGGATCGAGGCCAGCTCCTTTTCAAAATGTGGTTCTCGCCTTAGCGCCGTGCATTCGTCTTCGACATTGCAACAGTTACACGGATCGAGGCTGGTTCCCTGTCACACTGTGGTTCTCGCCTGAGCGTCGCGTACATTCGTCTTCAAAATTTCCAACAGTTACACGGATCGAGGCTGGTACCTTTTCAAAATGTGGCTCTCGCCTTAGCGCCGCGCACATTCGTCTTCGAACTTTCCAGCAACTCCATGTATCGAAGCCAGTTTCTTTTTCAACAAAAAAGGGTATTACATTAGCGCTGCGCTCATTTTAAGATCGCCCCTGAGCTTGTTTCGCGACTCCCTGTCAAATGATACCATGCGGCCAGCACTCGACATGTCTCCTCACGCGCAAGGGCTCCAAGACCGCCCTGGGTCCGAAAAACAACCCAAGGGCACCGAAGAGGGCCCCCAGAGGGGTCCAAACGGGGCCCAAGAGGAGGGGGCACGAACGGACATTTCGACCCCCCCGCCCAGGCTATTGCAATTGTCGTTCCATTGGATGCCCGTTCCGACCAGGGGGCGGTGGGCGAGACAGGAGGCCCCTGCGCGCGGAGGAGTGGTAGGTCGCGGGGCGTTATCGCGCTCACCATTCCAATCGATCACGTCAAGCAAAAAGCGCGTCGGCGTCGCCCCGTCCCTCAGTCTGACCGAGCTCGCTGCCGCTCGCGCCTGCTTGCGTGCCACGCATCGTGCTGGTGCCCTCCGCGTCGGATTCCTCGCCCGACGTGGCTGAAGAAGAGGCGGACGGATATTCCGATCCGCGCGCCAAATCATCCTCGGCGAACTCGCCGGCCTCGCGGGCAAGCTCCCGGTCCAGGTCCTCCAAGGAAGACGGGTAATCTTCGTCCACGTTGTCTTCGTCGTCCGACGACGCCGAGTCGATCCCGCGCTCGACCTGCTCGCCCTCGCGGCGCGGCCCTACGCGTAACCAATCTGAGGCTCGGATCCTGCCGTGCAGCCACACCCCCAATCTCGAGTGCGCCCTGGATGCCCCGACGACCTGCGCCCCCTGTCGGGGAGGTACGACCGTGGCGTGTTAACACCAGAAACCAGATTTAATATGTCTGGGTTGAAGATTTTCTTGGCCTTCTCGCCCTTGATCCACAGACGCGCCGCCTTCAGGACCTCCGCCGTCCTCGACATGCCGATTCCCCGGCGCTCTGGGGTCTCATCCACCAGCTCGCTCCGTGAAGTACTGCACTTTTTTGTTGCCTTGGCTGGCCCGTTTCCACAATTCCCCCGTGGAAGCGTGGTCCAACCCGGACGCGGCATGCGGGTTGAACACCTGTGCTGCCACGTGGTCGTACCTCCGGAGCATCTGCCGTTTTGCGTCGCCGGCAGC